AAGGGAAAAGTGCATTTTATTAGGAGAATATCTATGACATTTGACAATGTGATCAATTTCTTTTCCAAACCTTCCCTCAATGTGCAGTCTTATGAGCAGACCTTGGACTTAAATTCTTCCAAAAGGAAACATTCTTTTTTTCACATTTATTTCAGAGGTTAACACTCTGAAACTTAGTCAACAAAGATTTATGTGTGCATAGGTAGTTCTGTAGTTTTAACTTGAAATTTTGACCCTGCCGAAGTAACATATTTGGTTAGATCAGTGAATCCAATTCACAGTTTGCAAAGATACTTTCTTACAGATAATTGTAGTAAGACAAAATTCTTTCAAAGCTGCTTCCCCATGATTCACTGGCAGTTGCAATTCTGGTGAAATGGGCAAAACCACCGGAGGGGAGTTAACTGAAGCTGATTTGCTTTAGGGTGGTCCTATTGATTTACTTAGAAGCCTCACTGAGGTCAAGAGATTTTTCTCTGCACTTGCACAGGCCTCTCCTGCCTGTTTACAGACAGTTGGCCTATATGGATTGAATAATAGTCCATAACATATACATTTTTGCATGATGCAACATACATATATACATATTATATAAAAGATAGTAGTCCAGATTGTGATTTTGAATAATGCCTGAAAAGACTACAATTGATAAAAAATTTATTAATAATTTTCTTTACATTAAAAAGTGGATTTTGAAACCCACCTGGGATTCTTTATTTTCATCTTTCATGTCTCTTCACCTTGATTTGAAATCTAAGACAATTCTATAAAGTTTTCAAATATTTACTATTAATTAAAATATTATCATTTAATAGCTGTGTAAATCCATAAACATTTAAGAAATGAGATTACCAATGTATTGAATTACACTAAGAGAATCATCTAGGACTGTGTATTGGATGTACATCTAGAGCATATCAGAGTGAAAAAGGCAACAAAGAAACCAGGATGATGGAATGGTACGGCTAGAACTAAACACTGTAATTGCAACTTTGGTGTAAACTAGAATTTAACCTAGCTCTCTGCTGCTGCTTTTTTTGGAGGGGCTTACTAGTGATTTAGTAATCTATGGCATGCTCAGAACATCTAGGAATTCACAAGACATTACTGCACATCAATTTTCAAAATAAAACATGCTTTTTCTTGGGGTTATGAGGATGCTAATGTGAAATTTTAAACCAAAGAAAACTAACAAACTTGTACACTGAAGCCTTGGGTTAAATTCTTTTTCTCCCTCACATTTTTTACATTTGGTCTGTGATATTTAAGGCCGTCCTGGTATCCTCGTTTTGATATCGATGACTTGATTAATTACAATTTAAGATATGCTTATACAGAAAAAGTACAAGAGGCTTTATACAATCATTCATCTGAAATTCGAGATTTTATATTCTGTACTTTTCAAAGGGCTTTTGCGAGTTATGTCAATAGTATCATTCCCTTTATCATTGGTGGAGACACTCAAATACACTGTTTGACTTGGGCACATAGCTCAATAAATTAGAATCATGGAATTTTAGAATTAGATATATCAGCAAATCCAATCTCCTCATTTTCAGATAAGGAATCTGATGGCTGGTCTGGAGCCCAGGGCTCCTGGGCCCATAGCAACAGCACTCCATTTAGAACCTGGGCTTCCTGTTTTCAAACCACAAAGCTAAACTCTTTTCCTGAAATCACAAAAACAATCTACACAGTCCTCTTCTGTGTGCTGGGAAAAGCTGTCATGAAGGAAAAAAACAAACAAAAAGCATACCAAAAAGCCCTCGCAGAGCCCAGGTGAAAAACTGTAGGGTGACTGAAGCAGCCTTAAGAGGCACTGTGGTCCTCCCTAGTTCTGAAGCTCTTCTTCTGAACCGTCAGCAGTGTCTGTGCCTAAGATCAGGGGACGGCATCCTCCCCGTTCTTCCCATGGTTATTTTAATTCCAATTCCTCTCCCCACCATTTCTGGACAGGTGCCAGTTGCTCTAGGGCGTTTCTCCTCCTTTCATTCTTTTTCCTCCTCTTTCTCTATCAACTTATTGCTCCCTATCCTTTTATCCTGCCCTCTCTCTTTTCCTTCAGGATTCAAGTCTCAGAGGAGTTACTGAGTGAGAGAGGAAGGTGATTAACACTGGAGAATATGTACAGATTCAGGAGTAAATGGAACAATTATAAGCCATCTTTTCTTGCCCCCATAGCTAAATCATGCATAGAAAGTGGCAAAATATTTTTGTGTTTTTGTGTGTCTTGCAGAATAACACTTTTTAGCTGGTAGCAACATGGATCTGATACTTCTGTACAAAGCTTCCAGGTTTAGTATCACAATAGTAACACAAGGCAGCTACCATCATCAGCTCTAAAACTTGTAATATTGATGATGATCATGACATGGTGATAAGCATGGTCAATCTGAAAGTATACAGCCTTAGTGTTAGGGCATACCTTTTATTAATTATTTGTTGGGAGTGTAGTATATTTTGCTTCTGGTACATAATTTGACATCAAATCATAATGGATCCATATTGAGTAACAATTTGGGTTAGTGGTTAGTAGATGCTGGGAGTTATCTACATTTTTACTCATGCTATCCAGTTCTATGTATTTTAGTCTATGTAGACAGGATTTCTCAGTAATTCTTCGAGGTTATTTTTCCTTCAGATGGAATGAGTGCTTTGATGTAAAACTCTTCCTTTTGATTCTTATATTTTTGTACTGATTCATCTCAAAGTCTCACTGGATATAGTCTCTTTCCCCTACAACATGAACTGGACTGAACTCCCAGCTGATGTTTAGAAGACAACTCGTTTAGCTGTCTCATTGTCACATTTCATTTTCCTCCAGGCTAAATGTTTTTGTAAGTGATATAAAAATAAATGAGTTATGATACTGCAAAAAAGAAAACATCCTGATACGCAAGGGGAGAAAGGAGTGGGAGAAGGCTTTGAAAAAGTCCTTCTCTGTTCATTTTTGTAAAGGACAATCCAGTTCAAATTTGGTTTATTTGGTCTTATAATTAGATTGAAACAGTTGCATGCTTTATCTTAAATTATTCAGATTCTCACTGGTGTGAAGCGTTTGAAAGTTTGGAGGATTATTCCCAAAAAGTTTTCTTTGCAGTCCATGTCTCATTTCTGCATCCTTAGGAAAAATGATACTCCCCTAGCTTGGGTCTTTAAACACCATGTTGTACACAAACATTAAAGCTCCATATAAGATCTCAGAGGAAATAAGAGGGGGAAGTTATTTAAGCTGTTTCATAAAGTACTTCAGCTATTTTATCCGAGATGAGTTAAAAAGAGTCCGTGATTACCCCTGTGTTATCTGGAATACTTGACCTCCTAAAAAAGGCAGAGCATGTGACTCCACTTAGGTGAGCTGGAAATCTACGCATGACTTGGGTGGGAGGGCTTCAGGAGACTTTACACAGCCAGGACCTACTGGTGGTGAGATAGGAGTTTTGGGGGGTTTTCCCCTTTGAGATATAATTGTATTTTTTCTCTATATTTCAATTAAAAACTTATGTTATACAAAAAAAGAAACATATTCTTCTCCTTATAGGTCTATGTCAGGACTAACATAGAGTACAACCCAACACATCATTTAAACTGGGAATATATTAAACAGATCCACTGATTTATGATTATGATGCAATTAGAAAACGACAACTTATCCCAAGCCTAGTTTTAAGGTAAATAATTTAGCCTCAAACACAAGTGATTGTCTGATTGTTGTCTTATTGATCAGGAAAACTATTCAAACAATTTCAAGTAAACTACCTGTAGCAGGAAATACAAAAAAAGCATAAAAACTTAAAAGAAGCATGAATTTCAAATCTTTGGGTTGGTGCAAATTCAATTCTGGGATCTGATTCAGAATTATGCTCACTTTATTCCAAGCTAGTGTGATATCATAGTAAAACATGGGAACTAAATTGAATCCAGTATGGCGATTTTGTATTGCAGAAAATAGAAGACAAAACTTAGCAGGACCCTTCAGATATGACTACATTGTGTGGGGAGCATCTAAAATAATCTTTGAGTGGTTCTATTCAGGTTGCTTTATGGAAGGTGCAATATGAAAACATCATACTTACCCCTGTTTGCAGCTGCCACAATCAGATCTTATGCCTCTATGTCTCGGTATTGTTCAGGTAAAAGGTTACATTTTTTGTCAATACAGGGGAAATAAGGAGGCATCCTGAAAACTCCACAAATATATCTGGAATGGCTCAAATCAGTCCTTAAAAGGGTCTAGATGTTCTACTTATTAACTTTTAAACGTGATGTTATCCTTTGCCATGAGCCAAGTTGTATTTCCTTTATAACAATGAAAATGCAATGTATAAAGCATTGCTTTCTAGAATTATTTGCTAAAACTTAAAGAAAAGGGAGGAGTACAATATCATCTTGCATCTAATTTATACTAAAAATTTTTTGAATCATATGTTTGGTGACTGCAAGAACTTTATATTTTCCTAGAAACTATAAATAAAAGTAGATTTCCACACAGAATATCTTGGTAAATCAATTGCTAAATATGAAGACTGGTTTCAGGGTTAAAGAAATTCACAATGAATATGAATTCCAATTTGACAGCTTTTGTGAAAAAAAAGATGATAGAACAGATGATTTACGTAATATAAGGTAAAAGAAATCGAGATAGACCATATGCAATGGACAATGAAGACAAGATTGTATGAGACCTGTCCAAAAAAAAAAAAAAATTGAGAGTGATATTAACTTATAATGTGAAAGGCAAGCCAAGCAGAATGTACATCAGCTGTCAGATTGCTTCATTCCTTTAGAGCAGTTGTTCATCTGAAAATAGCTTCGAAATGAGAAAGGATGACTACAAAAGGCTTAGTTACCATAGGCTTGTCCACACCCCCTGGAGCTCCAGGTTTGTTATGACAGGATAGCAAGAATTCAAAGAGAGTAAACTATAGAATATTAAACATCAGGAAGGATCTACATTAATGCTGAGCTATATTATTGTTACGAATAATTTTTGTTGATACCATTTCCATGGATTTCTTTCATGATGGCTGATGCTTGCTGTTTCTTCTGCTTCACCGTGGCATTATGTGATAGCATGGTTTTTTGTTTCCTGTTAAAAATAAAGGAACGTTATTGAGACAATGTGAGGAACTCATTTAGAGTATTTTATAATCATCCTTTTGAAAGAGAGCCTCTTTGCTCTTTATTAAGGATTCACTATCGCTTTCTCCAGAAAGACTTTCATATGCATTCCTTGTCTGGTGACAGAGCGTGTTAGTCATTGACAGGCGATGAATGTCACAGTAAACAGAGAATGATTCTCGGAGTTTCAGGCCCAGTCTTATCTGTACACTAGCACAATGGTCATCAGGCAATGAGAAACAATGGAAGAGCTGGCCTCCTTCCCCACCCTCTCTCTTTTCCACAGTTTATTTTAATCTGTCATCGTTTCCTTATTGGCCTTCATTTGTACCAGCATCACAGTACATCAATTCCAGCAAACCGTAAGAATGAAGAAAGGACCCCAGATTAAACCAGAACTTCTTGGTGATGACATTTTAATATTGGCATCAACAGCTGTCCCTAAAAGCAGAGAATGCCCACTTATGAGTCACAATTCTGAACTTCCTTGGAAACTGACTAATAAAACATGTTAGGAAACAATATACTCACCTTGCTCTTAGATCGTGCTTTTCAGCAGGGATGAATCCCAATTTGTGGAAGAAAGACTGGAGATGGAATATGGATGGCACTTTGGCCCGATGGTTTTTATCCTTGAGCCTGGGACGGCATGGTCCCTAGCTCTGACTCAAACTGGGGTCTGAGCCTTTCTGAAGAGAGCGGCATCCAGCTGACATCAGCTGACTATATATAGCACCAAATACTTCAGCTACTCATATCTTCCTGGCGAAAGGGAGGAACAGAGAAAGATTAGGTTCTCTCCATTGTATTTCTAGTTTGTGAGATGGTTGAATGAACATACAAAAAGTTTTTATGGAGCACCTTCTGTTGGAAGAGATAGTAGCCAAAAGGGATTTTAAAAATTTTGTACGATGTAGCTCTCACGCTACATCTTAATTGGGGTGGCAAGAGACACATCCGTGAACTAGAACAGAATGATAGGTTATTAACAGTTAAAACGAAAGTATGGACAATAGTACCTCTGGAGTTTCAAGAAGAAAGAAAACAATATGGGGTGGGTCAATAAAGCCATCCCTTAAGCAGGAATGAGAACTTACGTGAGGTTCAGAAAAATGGGTAATATTTGAATGGTGAAGGGGGGGAGCATTTTTAAATGGGCGTTAAAGGTTGAGCCATGAAGCTCTCTGAGTAAAAGTTTAGACTCATAACTGGGTCATGCTTTTTGAAGAGACCCTTAGAGAACAGTTCCCACAAAGTTGGCCACTCTCTGCAAGATCTGGAGTCAAGGATTCCTATTTGGGAGAATGACAGGATAAGAGGTTTGGAAGGTAGGCCGTGTTGGCCTCCTTGCTGGTCTCTGAACACAGAAGCATGTTCCCAGTTCTGGGCTTTTGCTTTTACCATTTCCCACTTCCTGGGACCTGCTCTCCGCCACCCACATGGCTCACTCTCTCACGCGTTCAGGACTCCACTCAACTGTTGAGTCCTCCTTCAGTCCTTCCCCAATTGCCCTAAAATATCACATGGTGTCTCTCTCTAGTCCCTTACTGTGCTACAGTTTTTCTTTATATTTTTTTGCTAGTTAAGATTAAAGTCAAATGGGAGTGACAGAAAACCACAAAAAACAGAAATTTTGAAAAGATGGAAGTTTGTTTTTCTCACACATAAGCTTAGCCCAGAGGTGAATAATTTTAGGTTGGTGTGATTGACATAATCATCAGGGGCTCAGTCGCCTTCTAACTTTTTGCTCCATTATCCCTAAAATGCAGACCCCTTGGGCTTACATGGCTGCTCCAGTTCTAGTCAGCGTGTTCATATTTCAGTCAGCAGGAAAAAGAAAAAGTAATGAAGAAGACACATTAGCTCTCCTTCAGAACATGTCCTGAGATTGCTCAGACCTCTTCTGCTTATGTCCCTCTAACCAGAACTTAGTCAAATAGCCATATATAGCTCAAGAGAGGTTGGAAAACATAGATTTCATTCTGGGTGGCCACGTGCCCAGTTAAAATTCAGAGGTTAACTTACTGACAAAGGAGATAAATGGTTACTGGGTGACAACCCTCAATTTTTGCCACAAGAACATGTCAACATTATTTTCTCTCTCCCTCCCTCTCTCTCTCTCTCTCCAGTATCTCTTTTTCTTGCTAAAATGTGAACTCCATAAGGGCTTGGGCTTTGTCTGTATCTTCAGCAGCAAGAATTGTGTCTGTATATGGTGAGCACTTAGTATTCATTGAATGAATGAATAAATGAGTGGGTTGGAGATTAATTGTGGAATGCATTAAAGGTTTGGCATGAGTTTGGAATTCTCTTCCTGTTGGCCAAACACTAGGAGAAAAATAGGATTGTAATAAATGAACAGTTACTTGATTCTAAGAAGATGGTGGCCAATTGCGGGAGAAGTTGTTTTGTATGAGACTGAAATAGGTTATACATTTTGGAACCTGATCATAGGCTTGAGAGTTCACGGTAGTAGATGGTAGGTTTAAGCAAATCTATTACAATTGTTTCTAAGCAAATTTTTGCGTTATTAATTATGTTTCCCATTTAGCCAAAGACAGTGAATTTAAATTCCCTCTCAAGATTCCTCAATTTCTCTTATATCCCTGGATTTAGCATTTAATGAAGTGTGCTATTAGTCAAGTCTCTTAAATTCTTAGTTTTCTCATCTGTAAAATGGAGATTACAGTATCTACCACATAGAGTCATGGACATTTTACATCTAACAATTTTAGAAATTCCTGATACTTAATAAAAGTTTAATGAATGTCAATTTTTTCCTTTTATTATTATTATTATTCCTGCAATATGAAAGGATTTAGAACCTTAGAACAATCAATTGCATTATTCAGTATAAAATAAAAATATATTGAGAAAACCTCAATTTTCCTATTTGGTTATCTTCATATGTTTCCAACTTTGTGTTATGTACAGTTCCACAGATTGAAATGGTGTCCTCGGCAGACAATAATTGCTATATGTTCATTTTGGTTTCCAAAAGGAGATATTTTAAAGGATTTTAAAAGTTTTAAAGGATATGATAACTTACTAGTTTTTGTTTATTTTTCAATTATACTTAAAATTATTTTGCCTTATTTTTCTAGCTCATTTATACATATCTCTGATAGCTTTCTGGTTTCTGAGTTATTATTTTTTCTGCAAAGAAGAAAGAACAAGTCATTGGTATTGTGGTTTTGAGACAGTGTATGCTATCCATACTTCATGACACAAAGGCTAAATTTTAGACAGAACTTTAATAAATAAAGCATTTTCAGATGTTTGATTCTAAAAGCCAATGCATTTAAATTTTAGATCGAGTCACAGTTAATATATTTCTATTTCATCTGCACAGAGATCTGTCTCTAGATAAAGCTTCCCTCAAATTTGTCATATTGCAATCTGTTTGTCCACAGCCCCCACCCTTTTATCCCCAAGACCCAGGACTGCCTCCATCATCAATACCCCCCACTCCACACTATAGACTAGAAAAGGATCTCTCCTACCCCCAGGATCTCAGTACCTACATTTGTCCTAGTACTCATTCCTGTCCTTAAAGCTTCCTCCTAACCCCAATTTAAGCAGAGTAGTACTGTATCTTTCCTTCAAGGCCCTAAGTAGTTTAAATTAATTGGTGCTAAAGACTGAAGATGAGGTCTTTTCTTGTAGGCAAAAGAATGGGATTCTAATGGTAGAAGGTGGTGCCTTGGGGGGCTACCAAGGAAGAAGTTTTGGGCAGAGCTTTTCAACACCCCTGCAACCAAACTCTTCCCATTGCTGGGGCTGCCACAGTTGCATTTCCAATTCCTTTACCATTTGCTAAAACAGAAAAAGAGATTAAATGAGGTGAATCTTACTGCCAGCATACTACCCAACCAAAATCCACACCATGAGGACCCATGAAAGGCAACCTTATTCAGTCATTGGTAAACACGAGCCCTTTAACCAATTGGTAAACAAAGTCTACATTGATCTTCCTCTGACTAAGCAGTTGTTTTTTAATTCTGTGTTTCTCCTTGTCCCATTTTCAGTCTATATTAGGTGGCTGTGGGCAGTTAGAGATTAGGGCAGGATCCGGGGGGGCCCAGGATGTGAGGACTGACTGTCTGCTAGGTGGGCAGACCACGCATTACATTATTGAGGCTTGGTTCACACATAACCCAAACAAGGCAGCTGCCAGGCCAGTGTCAAGTGAGAAATCTGAGAGGACGATTAGCTCTTTACCAGCCTCGGGGCCTCAGATAGGGTGCTAACCCGGAGATGAAAGAATTCTGTTTGAAAGGATGACAAATCTGTAAACAACTCGCAGCTGGTGACACTGTCCATGGAAGCATGGGCTTGGGTTTGTGCAAAATACCCTGCATTCTTCTTTTTTTTGTTGTTTTTTTTTTTTTTTTTTTTGTTTATTGCAGTAACATTGGTTTATAACATTGTATAAATTTCAGGTGTACATCATTATACTTCTATTTCTGCATAGATTACATCATGTTCACCACCCAAATACTAATTACAACCCACCACCACACACATGTACCGAATTATCCCTTTCACCCTCCTCCCTCCCCCCTTCCCCTCTGGTAACCACCAATCCAATCTCTGTCTCTATGTGTTTATTTATTGTTGTTATTATCTACTACTTAATGAAGGAAATCATGTGGTATTTGACCTTCTCCCTCTGACTTATTTCACTTTGCATAATACCCTCAATGTCCATCCATGTTGTCACAAATGGCTGGATTTCATCGTTTCTTATGGCTGAGTAGTATTGCATTCTTCTTAATAGCTAACTGGCTTGCCATGTCTTCCATGGTTTCTGTTTTCCTACATCGAGGGGAGTCTAGCGTACAATTGATCTCCTTACCAGGCCTTAGCAAAGGACAGAATAGCTATGAGCAGTGCTGTGGTGACCATCCTACCAGCCAAGATGAGACAGCACAAGGCGGAGAGATGAGTTTGCAGCTGGTCTCATTACAGTGAAGGCCTAAGGGACCAACAGCGGTGAGAGGAACTATTACAGCCAGCATTTAGTTCATGTTTGCCAGGCATGGTTAACCCTTGTTTTACAGAGGAGGAAACTGAGCTTCTAAGAGATTAAGTAAAATTCCCAACACGTCACACCCGTAAATTACAGAGATGGAATTAAAAATTGGTTCTGTCTGATCCAAAGGCTTTTGTATTTTCACTATATTGTGCAGAAATCTCTATCTTCCTAACTTCTAAATATCTCTGTATTGATATCTTCAAAACAAAAATAAAGAAGCAGAGTTGAGAATTGTCAGAATAATTATTTCAATGTGTTCCTTATTGATTCTTTTTGGAATTTAGCTTCCCAGCACTAGGTTTATTTTGGCTGAGCTACTTTCTCCTTATAACATTGGTGGCTCTTTTCCACCCCATGTTTTTCTGGTTTGCAAACTTCTAGAGTCCCTCATGGTGTCTATTCTCAGGCTGCTTTCATTTCCTTCAGCTGTGCAAATATGAAAGTTATTAAAATGCTGAGCAGAAACCAATGGAAACATGTGTCATTTGCTGTCCAGACCTCTCCTTCCTTTCCTGGCCGGTGAACCACACACATAAACACACGTACCACCTTCACTGCCAAAAATAAGGATCAAATCCAACTCTATCCAAAGAACCCATTTATAGGCAAGCCCAGTGTTTTACCTGTCTTCCTCTGCAAATTTATTTCTTT